GAATTCCTTTATTGGGGCCCTAGTACATTAGCTCTACAAAAGGTGAATAAAGTGGCATTCAGCTCCTGACGAATGACCCAGGTCTCGTGTGTGTGTGTGTGTGTGTGTGTGTGTGTGTGTGTGTGTGTGTGTGTTTCTCTTTCAATCTCCAGGCCTTTGCCCTGACTTGTGATCGGTATGGAGGCACGCGAACCGTACAGAGAGGGTAACGCAGAATCGGGTGTTACACACACTAACACTATTAGTGACAAAACGAATGTCTTTATTGTTGCTCAGGGGCTGCACAGAGAACTTTCCCAAATCATGTAGCCTTGAGCCTTACAGCTCTTTGTCTTTTATGTACAAAACACATATCTTGGTTAGCACATTCCAGTTAGCAAGAAGCAGAACTACAGAAACCAAAAAGCAAGATTAATACATTTAGGGACTTTTTCTTGGGGACTTTTCTGGAACTATGGACCACGTCTTCATTTCTATTTTGGTAGGTGTCAGGGCCCATGTGCGAGGTTTAAGGGCAGAATGGTGTCTAACACACCATCTGTCGGTGCTAAAGTTTGGGAATCTGTTAAAACCAGGTGCTAAAAATCCTTAAGGGCCTCTCTGATATGGTCAAGGGGACAGTATAAAGAATCATGTGAGCCAGGTGATAATGCATACCTTTAATCCCAATACTTTAACCCAGAACAGCCAGGGCTACACAGAGAAACCCTAAAAAACCTAAGAGAAAAAAGGAAGAAGCATTCATTTGTTTTGTAGGACTTGGGGGTTTGAGGGATGAATGAAGACACATTGCCCTCGTTCACAATATTTACTATTTTAAAATCCTGTTGCTAGGAGTGGCGTTCCTTTTTGATTGTTTGTTTTGTTTTGGGCTCTTGGTTGTTTTTTTGTTTAGTTTTGTTTTGTTTCTGGTATTTTGAGACAGTCTCACTGTATAGCTCTGCCCTGGAACTCCCTATGTAGATCAGGCTGACCTGAAATTCACAGAGATCTGCCTGTCTCTGCCTCCCAAGTGCTGGAATTAAAGGCGTGTGCCACTGTCTTGACACCAACCTCTCCCCTCTCTACTCTGTCTTGGAACTTAATGGCTGAGCAGCTACATACCTGCTCATCCCATGCCTTTTTCTGTGGTGCACAAGCTGCTCCCATCCGTTGTCTCTTTAGTAGACACCTGCCCTGCTTGCCAAGCTCTATCTCAGTCACCTTAGTCACTGATTGAGTAGAACTGATGCCCCTTCTTTCAGAAAGCCTTCCCCTCCTGCTTCCTTCCTCCACTGTCCTTTGTCTGCCCCCAACACCACACCACATTCAACTTGCCCATATGTTTCTGAATGTTCTTTTTGGATCTATATGCTCTGCTTATAGATTCTGAGCCTTAAAGGAGTTCATATATAAATACATACATATATACATACACACACATACATACATGAAACCTAGGGCCTTATACATGCTGAACAAGAGTTCTGCCATCGATCTGCATCCCATCTTCTACTATGCATAGTCCCAATCTGGGTAGGATGGTACATGCCTATAATCTCAGTATTTAGGTTGTGGGCACAGTAGAATCAGTTCAGGATTAATCTCAGCTACAAAGAGTTTGAGGCCAGTCTAGGTTACTTGATCTCTATCCCTAAAGAAAGCAAAACAAAAGCTACTGTCTCTTCACAGGTCTTCACCTGAGTGCTCCCAGATCGTACTGAAGGCGAGGGCTGAAGTGACATCACAGCCCGGGGCACATTGGGTACTCAACCCACTGAGACTGTGGTGTTGGACTTCGTCACTGTCTCAAAGTATGATGTGGGAAACCTAACCTGAAAAACTGTGTGTGGGTGTGTGTGGGGGGGAGTTGCCTGCATGCATGTCTATGTATGTATGACTGGAGCCCCCGGAAGCCTGAAGAGAACATCAGAATCCCTGAGACTATCATTACAGATGGTTGTGAGCCACCACATGGGCGCTGGAAATCCAACCCAGATCTTCTGGAATAGCAACTATTGTTCTTAAATGCTGAGCCAATTCTCCAAACCGAGGACAGTTGTTTTTTGTTTTTTGTTTTAATTAAGACAGGGTCTCTCTATGTAGCCCTGGCTGGTGTGGAACTCACTATGCAGACCAGGTTGGCCTCAAACCCCCAAGTGCTGGGATTAAAATGCTACCATGTTTGGCTAGGACAATGTTTTACAACCAGAATAAGACAAATACCTAGTAAATCACAAATATAGCATTTAAGTAAAAAAAAAAACAAAACAAAACTTTGTTATCTTTCTAGATATATGACTATACCTGTGAAATCAACAAAACACGTTTTCCTTCATACCACTTTGTAATCTTTCCTGCCTTACCCTCTTCTAACACTCAGTCATCTCCCCAGGCAACTCACTACTACTCAGACAGCAGTAACAGTGTTTCCTCTTACTATAATCTGCGTATTTTAGAGTTACAAAGTATCATGTAGTCCAGGCTGGCATCAAAATCCATGCATAGGAGCCGGGTGGTGGTGGAGCATGCCTTCAATCCCAGCACTCGGGAGGCAGAGGCAGGTGGATCTCTGTTAGTTTGAGGCCAGCCTGGTCTACAAGAGCTGGTGCCAGGACAGCTAGGGCTGTTACACAGAGAAACCCTGTCTCAAAAACAAACAAACAAACAAACAAACAAAAGAGTCGACATAAATGTGATAATTACTTTGAGTTCCTGACCCTCTCCCTCACATCACCAGTACCTATCTTTAATTTTTATTTATTTTGGAGACAGGGTTTTTCTATGTAACCCTGGCAGTCTTGGAACTTGCTCAGCATCACAAGTGTTGAGATTAAAGGCACATGCCACCATGCCGAGTTTCCTTACTGCCATGTTGCTTTCTATTGTTTAAACATAGCGCATTTTGTTCAGTCACCTGCAGATGGGTATTTGAGCTGTCTCGGCTCTAGTCTCGGGCTATTACAGATACCTCATATGTGTGAACAATTCGTACAAATACTTTCGTTTTGCTTGAGTTAATACCTGCAGATAGAGTAGAGTAGGGGTTTTCTTTTTTTCTTTCCTTTTTTTTTTCCTTTAGAGTTTTTATGGCAGGGTCTCACTGTGCAGCCGAAGCTAGCTTCAAATTTGTAATCCTCCTGTCTCACCCTCCTGAGTGCTGGAATTACAGGCATGTGCCACCATGCCCAGCCTGTGTGTGTGTGTGTGTGTATGCGTGCATGCATGCCTGCACGCACTCACGCAAACTCTTCACATTTGGGTGAAGAAAATGTCAAGGGGCCAGGTATTGTGGCACATGGCCTTTAGTCCCAGCATTCTGGAGGCAGAGGCAGGGGGAAATCTCTGTCAGTTCTAGTCTCTCTATCTAGCAAGTTCCAGCACAGCTATGACTTCACAGTGAGGTTTGTCTCAACAATAAATAAATAAACAAAGAAATAAAAGAAGAAAGGAAGGGAAGAAGAAAAACTGCTGAGGGCATGAGGACACAGCTTCAGTGGAAGAAGCACTTGACCAACACGTAGAAGGACCTTAATTTAATTCCCAGCATAGACAGGGCCTTATCTGTAATCCTGGCTGGTTAAAGCAATCCTCTTGCCTCAGCCTACAAAGTGATGAAGTCATGTGACTATTCCACCATGTTTGGCAATAGGCAGAGATGTATGTTGTTTTTGTTTTTGTTGTTTGAGACAGGGTTTCTCTGTAGCTTTGGAGTCTGTCCTGTAACTAGCTCTTGGAGACCAGACTGACCTCAAATTCTCAGAGATCCATCTGCCTCTGCCTCCCAAGTGCTGGGATTAAAGGCGTGCACCACCACCACCTGGCTCATAGGCAGAGATTTAATTTTTTTTTTTACATTCCTTTATTTTGTGTGTGTGCACATGGACCATGCACACGGAGGGGTCTGACAACAATCTCAGAAACTGGTGCACTTCCTTCACTGTGTGAATCCTAGGAATCAAATCAGATCATCGGGTTTGACAGGTCCTTTGCCTAGTGTGCCTTCTCACCAACCTGTGGTTTGGTTCTTAAGATAGTCTCAAATTGCCAAGGCTGGCCTTCTAATTCTCCTGATTCCACATTTCCAGCTTCTGGGCATATGTGTTTAAAACACCATACCTATCTTAAATTTTTTAATTTTTAAAGTTTATTAATTTGTTTTTTATGATACATGTTGTGTAAAATAGAAAAAATATGCTGGGCATGATTTTGTTGTTTTATTTTTGAGACAGAGTTTCTTTGCATAATAGCGTTGGCTGTCCTGGAACTTGCTTTGTAGACCATGCTGGCCTCGAACTCACAGAGATCCACTGCCTCTGCCTCTCAAGTGCTGGGATTAAAAGCATGCACCACCACCGCCTGGCACTGGATGGGATTAATGGTAAACTATTCCTTGTAGAACAGAAAATCAGAGAAGCTGAAGGTATAACTAGAAACTTCAAAATTGAGATGGGGGATGAAATTCAGTTGGTAGAATGCTTACCTATACACAAAACATTAGATCTGATACCCAGCACTGTATAAGGTCATGTCTGGTGGCCCATCAATTACTTCAGCACCTGAGAGGTCAAGGAAGGAAGATAAAAGTTCAAGCTCATTCTTTTTTAAAATAGTTTTTTAAATGAATTTATTATTTATACAGTGTTCTGTCTGCATGCCAGAAGAGGGAACTCGATCAAATTACAGAGGGTTGCTGGGAATTGAACTCAGGACCTCTGGAAGAGCCGTCAGTTCTCCTAGACCTCTGAGCCATCTCTCCAGCCCCTTCAAGCTCATTCTTGACTAATGAGTTGGAAACTATCCAGGGCTACAAGAGACTGTCTCAAAAAAATAAAACAGGAGAGTTAGGGAGGGAGAGAGAGAGAGAAAAGAGGGAAGAGGAGGAAGAGAACTGTGAAGGCAGGCAGGAGCGGTGGTACATACCTGCAATACTCAGGAGTTGAAGTCTCACACTTTAATCTCAGCAGCGGGGAGGCACTGGCTGCAGATCTCTGGGAGCTCAAGGCCAGCTTTGTCTACAGAGCAAGTTTCATGGCAGTCAGGACTACACACTGAAACCCTATCTCAAAAGCAAAATTTTCCTCAGTCACACTAGCCACATTTAAGTGCTCAAAATCCACACTGACTAGGAGGATGTCCTAAGCCCTGGTAACAGTGAGTGAGTGCTTCTGGTGGCTTCTGTGTGTAGCTCAGCATATGTAGGTTCTAGAAGAAGCTGGTCATTCCATAGAAACACTGACACTCCCCTCATGGGGGTTCAATTCATGCAAAGAAAATGGCTATGGATTATCCTGGTAGGCTAAGGTGGTCACATGCCATGACTGGGTTTTGGAGGGTAGGCAGAGCAGAGGGTTTCGTTTCCAGCAGAAGTGCAAAATGCCCCTAGGGGATCATACTGGAAATGTCAAGAGTTGGCCTGGGATATAGCTCTGTCTGGGGCATAATTGTGGGGAACCTGGACAATAATTAAATGGACGTAATTTATTTCTTTCCATTTGGCTGATCTAAAAGTTGGGGGGGGGTGTTGTTGTTTCTCTTTCCCCCGGCCTTTAACACAACATATAGATGAGAATGACTTTTTTTTCTGGTTCTTTGAGACAGAGTTTCTCTGTGTGATATCCCTGGCTGTCCTGGAACTCACTTTGTGGACCAGGATGGTCAGGAACGCAGAGATCTGCACGCCTCTGGCCAATTTCCTGAATCAAGGACATGCACCTTCATGCCCATCTGACTCTGAGCAGCTTATCCTCCACTCTCCACGTCCTGAGTGCTGGGGTACAGATGTCTGCCATGGTTCCCAATTTATACAGTGCTGGAGATTGAGCCCAGAACCTTTTCACTGTTAGGAAAGCATTCTAAACCCTGAGCTACAGCTGAATCCTGTCGAGGGACTAAGGAGGTCTCATAGAATGTTAGCACCAGACTGTGCCCAGGGAGCTAGAAGCTGGACACTAAGGAACTGCAGATAGGGCACTTCCAGAATACCAACTTCTGCCCATGCTGGCTGAAGACACCAGAATTCACCTCATAAACAGCCCAGGTCCCCAAAGAACAGCAGCTGTGCCACAAACCCCTCCCATTTCTGTCCTGGCTGTCTAGACAGCCTGCTATGTCCTCCACCCCTCAGATGAGTGGAGGCACATCCCTACACCCCCAACCCTTCTCCCACCCCCTCAAGATGAGTCACTCATCCGAGCTGGCTCATCCCTGCCTGTGCTTTTGCTTTCTTCAGGGGTCACAGGAGCACAAGAGTCCCAAGGACATTCCAGGTGGGGAGAGTGAGTGACTCACACAGTAGCCCCACGTTGGAGAGGGTACCCCCTTCTGGAGCTGCCTAACTGCTGCTTGTCACAGTGCAAATGGCTCATCACTGCATGTTGAGGCTGTTTCGAATCACTGCCAGTCCCATCCCCCACCCCCATGCCCAGTACAGCTGACCAAGAAAGAGATGCTTTCCCAAGGTCTGAGGGTGGACAAACAAGCCATGGACACCTGTCCTTCTGCCAGAACTGTCAAATCATCATTTCAGTGAACACTGCCTAGGGCTGATCCCCAATCCATCGACACCAGGAAAAGTTCAGGGCCAGCCACTGGACTGATGCTTGAGAGGCCCTTGGAGGAGGAACTAAATCCACCCTCCCTTCCCTCACCCATCACCTTCCCTCCAGCATCCCAAATAAACACGCAAGACAGTGTTTTTGGTCTGAGAGTGATGGACATTTAGATGTTGGCAACTGACCAGTGCCTCGTGGGGAGCAGGCAGAGCAAAGACAGAGAGGTAGGGTACAGTGCTGCCAGCCAGGGCTCAGGTCATTGTGGTCGCTGGGGTGAGAGTGGAGGGAAAATAGCCAGGGTCAAGTCCAGTGCTCAGAGCCTTACCCGTTCCAGTGCCCAATATCATCAGATGGCTGGGTGACCTCAGCCAGGTGCCTGTGTGTGTCAGGAGGTAGGCAAGGCCAACCTCTGCCCATTCAGATGGAGGGGCAACGTCACTGGGGGCAGATCACAGGCTCTCCACCCTCTATTGTAAGAAGGACAGGGGGTGGTGAAGTGGCTCTGTGGCCACTGAGGTCTCAAGTTGGTTGAGGCTTGGGATCCAGACCACAATTAAGGGTCTGGTTGGACGAGGCTGGCAGCTTTCCTTAAAGCCCTCATGATCCCTTCAGCTGTCCTCCTAAACAGTCCCACCCCAACACACACACACACACACACACACACACACACACACACACAACATCGGGAAAGTCCTAATCAAGGCAGTACAAGCGAAAGGAAAAGGGTGAATCCCCAGCCTCCTAAGGTGGAGGGCACTCACCCCTGGATGCAGCAGCTGGACATTGGGCCCAGTCTGCTGAGCTACATCATGGCTCTTGGCTTCTTGGACACCCACATAGGAAGACAAAACAGGACCTGTGATCCCCTGCCCCAGACTCCTGAAAATCTCGAAGATGGTGTGTCCTCAATGGGACTCTGGCCAGAAGCATGCATAAGCCAGCCAGTCTCAGGGCCACAAATCCCCATGGACAGCAGAGGGATGATGGGTGGTTCCTGCAGTGGGGCAGAGAAACTAAGGCACAAAGCTAACCTAAGCCCACTGGGTAAGGTGGGGTGGGTACAGGATCCAGAGGTCACTCCTCCCCATCTGCAAAGCACAAAGTGACCAGGCAACGATCACGACCGAGCTCTGACAATCTGGCACGGGAAGAAAGTTCAGGTTGATGATCCTGGGTGCCAGTGAGTGGCTCTTGACAGAGGGACTGTATATTCCAGCCGGCCCAAAAAGGCCTCTAGAGATGGGGAAGACCCCTGGACGCGGCTGACACTCTAGTCTGGGCCCCATGGCCAGTCTGAGGCCTGAGTCTGGAAAGCGGACATCCAGCTGGGGCTGGCAAGGTCGTGGATGATGACAAGGTCCCTGCATGGGCTAGTCTCCATTAGGCCCTCCATGGGCATCGTAAAGAGGGAGAGAGAATGAGAGGGAAGCAGGGAAAGGGCCTAGGATCTCAGCACATTTAGGCAGGTGGAACCCAGATGGGCGGGTCGCCTTGCGCTTCAGGACTGCCTGCGCAGACTGGGTCGCCGGAAGGTCGGGTGCATGAGGTTCTCGGTGATGTAGGCCACCAGCAGGCAGATGACCACCAGCATGACACAGATGGAGCCGCCCACCGCCGTCATGGCCACCACGATCTCCTGCATAGCTGCCGGTTCGGCGGTGAACTCCACGCACTCGGCGAGCTCTGGCTGGGTGGCGGCGAGCTCAGCGCGCAGCGGCAGCGGCTGCAGGCACAAGCGGTAGCGCACGCTATCGTGCACGTCGGGCAGCAGGTAGTCGCGGCAGGAGGCGCCCAACAGCACGCGATCGCACGGGAAGCGTGTGTAGGTGCCACGCCACGAGCAGTTCAGCGCGAAGACTCGCACGCGGCGCGCCTCGGCCGGAGCCAGTCGCCACTGCAGCAACACGCTGCGGTTGCGCAGGACGTGGGCGCGCAGAGAACCACCCGCCGAGACCAGCGTCACGCAGCCCGGCGCCTGGCAGCGGAAGCCCCGAACGGGGCTGCGAAAGCATAGGCGCCCACCGCCCGCCTCGGGGCCCTCGGACAGCACCTTGT